AGAGTTGGTATTTAAAAAATAAGCTCTGAACAAGTGTAAGGGATTCTTCACCCCCCACACACTCCCCCCACCCCCACAGCAAAAGCACACCACTTTTTCAGAGTAGGTAAAAGACAAGTAGCAGGGGGTACAGCAAGAACATCTTACTCTGGATTTTGCTTTTGCAGAGAACCTTCCCTTCCTGGAGGGAGAAGGAAGACCTGTTGCAAACCGAGTGTCGAGCACCCCAGCTACGCTGCTCAGTTAATCCCTGACCAATTGTCAGACAGGAGAGACATGGAAGTTACAAGTTGGGTACCTGGGTGCCATTTTGTCCTTGCTGTTGAGCACACCAGAGCGCTGTCTTGATGCCAGCTGTGCCTGTTACAGCTTTGTCAACCAGCTGCATCACCTACCTTGATGCTACACAGTGTATGTTTTTAACAGCTGCAAAATGGTGGCTGGGGCTCATGTGAACAATTGAAAGGCCCTAACACTTCCCAGCACGTGGAAGAGACATCATACATTACTGAGGAGAGGAAACCGAGTTCACCATTTATTTTTTAATACAATTAAAGGAGGAACCTCGGGAAAAAATGTTACATACAAAATACCTGTGATAACAGAGCAGCTCACCTGGTACAAAGACCCAGATATTAAGCTGAAAAGGTCTCACAGAAACCATTTGTGTGCAATCCACTGAATACAGCATAAGGCAATAGAAAACATGATTCATAGTATAAGTGCTTAAGGAAGAAATTACCCGAATAACCTGCCCATCAAAAATATAAACAGTTGCTAGATGTATTTGTCAGTGAAACTTCTTGTTTCCTTTAGAAGGAGTTACTTGAAGTGTCACAGGAACCTGTGGTGATATAGCAAGGTTTGGCACAGTGCAAAAGGCAAACCCTTCTCCAGGAGGCTGTGCAATCATCAGTCCGGAGCAGAAGTAGCGCATGGGATAGTCGGAGGGAAAGTGTTGTGCTGGTGCAACCACCAGAGCTGTGGTGTGGTTGGTAAGGTGGAAATGCATCGTGGTTGTAGCAGGGAAGGAAGCACCGTGTTGGAAATGAGCAAAGTAAATACAAAAAGAGGGTGTGGAGCTGGGAAGTTTGTGCTGGGAAGAACAAGCGTAGATGAAAGAAAAGGAAACTTGAAAAGCATGAGACACCGTTGCCCGTACGCCACGTCCTGCAATAAGGGCAGGCTGCCTTTTACAAACGCTGCTTTCTGCATCGCCTATGTTCTGCTTGCAACCAGAATGCACAAGTGCAGAGAGTGTCGTTTCCTTATTGCCCACCTTATCTCCTGTTCTCTGTCACAAATCCCTCCATAGGAATGTTCTGAAGTTCCATTTCACTTCATACAATTGGAAAGCAGGAAAAAAGCTGATGAGGCAGCGTGACTCTGCAGGAGTAGAAAGGGAGCAGTGTCTTATTTTTTACTAGTGACTTGATCCCTGAGCCTCCCATAGCTCAGTCTTCTACAAATTGCTTTTAGTCCTCCTATTTTCTCCAGCAATTTTTCTCTCTCAATATGTACCTGCTAGAAAAAAGTGAAGTGGATGGAATATTTCTCTGCTATATCCTAGCAAGATAAACAGCTCAAGCCACAAAACATCCCACAAAGCAGACAGTGTGTGCTTTCAGATTTTGGTCTGCCCTGCTAACTGCAGGTGGATAGAGCAGCAAGGGAAGGGGTACAGCTTGCAGTGGGATAGAGCAAAAGCGAAAACCAACCCTGTCAAACTCCAGACAGGGCTGAGTTAGGTTAGCATGCAGAGTTGCTTAGATGGCTTGTTGGGGCATGGGGCTTTCTCCTCTTTTCCCCTCAAAATGAGAAACCACTTTGTCCTACACGGTAGGCAAGAATGTCACCCAGATTAGATGAGTCGCATCCAATGTTAGCATCCTGTAGAGAACCTCCTTCAAGTCCTGGCTGGGTAGAAAGAACGCTGTCAGAAAGCAGCAGCAGCGCTCAGCGCCAAGTAAATCCCTATGTGGCTGTGAGAGTCCCAAGCACCGGCAGAGCCTGCTCCTGGGCAGATGCACAAACCAAAGCAGACCCGTGTTTACGAAGCAAGGCCCCGAGTTGCACCCCATTGCAGCAGCCACGTGTGAGAGAGAGAGATCGCCACCAGGTGTTAGAGATCGAAGCGGGGCTTCACAAGCGCGGGCAGGAAGGCAGGCGTGTAAAAGCTTGTGCCTGTGCGTGCACAAAGGTGTGCATGGGCGTGTGCTCAGCCGCAGCACCACCGGCGGGCTGCGCTGTGCCGGGTGTGCTCCCGTACCTCTGGGTAAGTTAACGGAGGAGCTGTACCTTGGCACCCGGGTTGGTGAGGCCGTCCTTTTGGGAGAGAAACGTTACGAGAACTTCAGCCACCGCTGCAGACAAGCAATGTTAGTCAGCTGTTAGGCGCGCCGTCAGTACCTATCATTCCCTAAAGAGTCTCGTAGCACTGAAAATAAGCATGAGGCACATAGTCCCACCTCAAGGTGCCTCTTCATGAGAAGCGAGTGCGTTATTGCCTCTATAGAGGAGAAGGGATGTGTATCCGTAATGGTCAAGTCCAAATCCAAAGTCCTCCAGCACAAAGAACAGTACTGGCAGATACCTGTGAGAGGCTGAATATAAAAGAAGTCTTAGCTGCTCCAGGTCGCAACGTGGAGGCACAGCCTGACTTGAGATTGTGTGTTGGGGTCTAGGGTCTCCCAAAGGCCAGCTCTGCGTTCCTAAAGGGGTAGGTGGGTGTGGGCTGCCTGCCAGGGCTCTGCAGGCCCCCTGGTTTTCATAGAGGCAGCATCAAAGCCAGAGGATCCCAAACTCTGGAACTGGTGCGTCAATGCCGACAACACTCTCCTTCTGCCCCGTTGAAGGAACACGGAGGATCCTCCCAGTTGGAATTCCAGCGAGCCCGTTGTAATGAGACTGCGCCACACCTTCTGTGGCGTAGGTGGGGTTTTGTGTTCATTCACACAAGATTATGTTGTCAGTCTTCTTCAGCAGAGTTTTCTACTGCTGTCATCCACTTTCAGAGGGCCAAAGGGTCAACGCAATAAGCATTGCTGTACAACGAACAGTGGGGACTGCAGTGCAGAATACACAGGATAAGAAACCTGCGGGACACAAAGAAAAGATTTTACTGACTCTTTTTAATCCTAAATATAAGCCAGCATGTCGCTGAGCCGAGCCAAACGGGGATCACCTGCCAGAGCCCTCCACAAGAGGGCTCCCATTACGGCAGAGACAGAGCTGTTCGGAGCTAGACAGCACACGACTGGCGCTACAGCGAGCTACAGACTGGCTCGACACTTGCTGTGAGAACCTTTGGACCGTACAGAGGTGCTATCCCTCTGCGAAGTGAGGATGACTAATAAACGTGCTATGAGCAGCAACAGGCCATGGCTCAGCACGTCGCACAGTTACGAGATGGCAGTCAGCCACTAAGGAAGCGCAGCTTCCACCCCCGTCCGCAGGCAGCAGCCGTTCCAGGCGGCGGAGCTGGGGAACACCAGCCACTGCCAGAAAAGACCTGGCAAACTTTTATTACAGAAGAGGAATGTGGCGGAATGGATTTATTCAACAGGTGAACTCCCACCGCTCCCATCACAAAACCCCCAAGAATTCATGCTAAGCAAGGCTCTAGTATCTGTTCCAGACAGGGCCTTCCCCAGAGGAAAACATGAGTGGGTGGTCAGGTTTGGAAATGAGACGAGGAGCCTGAATGACAGTTCCCATCCTTCCCATCTCAAAAATGTTACGCTTTTAGGTTACTGCAACGCACAGTGTGACAAATTCATGACTTCTAGGACTCTACAGCTGTTACTCTGCAGCATTACCCTGGCAATTCAGCATGCTGCAGTGAGAGCAGTAAATACAGTCACCTGGATAATGATGCGAATAAGAACAGCTAGCTGCTAATCTTCCCTTAAGTCTCTTGATTTGAAAAATGTCTTTTTGGAGGACACAGCCCTGAACACAGCTGAGCTTTCAAGCCAAAATGAATATAATTCTTTGTAGTCATACAACCTTGGTGAGCCACTTTCCCCCAGCCCGTCCTTCACAACACCTCATCAAAACTAACTCCTTTTAAAATAGGAGTGTTTCCCGGGCAACTTTTCCTTTTCCATTCCTCCAGCTGCTGAAGGAAATGGAGATATGTCAGAAGTGGACTGGCATTGTTAATCTTAACTGGGAAAGCTGGAGTTGTTCTCTTCTTGTTCTCCTCTTCCTCACCACCACAATCCTTCATTTCTGTCAGTGATATTCCCATGTTTATGCATCAGATCAGGCACACGGCTCACAGGGCATCAGCCAGAAATAACCTCTAGGGAATGAGGCCACATGTGGGACCTGTAGTAGTGATGAGCTACTCACAAATGAGTCCAGCAGGACAGGAACTGAAAGACTGCCCAGTTCTTAGTTGTGAGGCCCATAAAATGAGCACAAGGGCAGAGGCAGGGGATGTGACTGCAGATCCTTGTAGATGAATGACCGTGCTACAAACCCACCTCTCAGATATTAACCAGCTTCCTTACACAGGTTCAGAGGAGACAGTGACAATCAAAGTTGTCAAATGTTCCCTTTCTTTCATACCTCTCTCTCTTTCATCCCCATTTAGTTCCTAAAAATTTATGTTAATTAAGGAAATGAATGCCACAAAAACTTGCACCCCATCCTTGCAGGGCCTGTTCTGTGGAGAAAGCAGCTTAGCAGGCCAGCAGGTTCAGTCCTCTAACACTCTTCACTAAATTAATTTCTAGAAATTTGAAATAACCCAAACAAAGCAATGCCCCACAAGCAACATGAGCATCATCCCTCTAGTTACCTGACCAGGAAATACTATGTGTGTGAGTTGGCAACAGGGCCCTGCTGCTTTTATTTACCCTAAAGGACAGCACGCATATTAAAAGCTATACATGGTTTTGTGAGCAAATATCGCATGAGAATCTAATAGTATTTGAGAAGCTATTTTGCCAAGAGAAAAATGGTGAAGAAAACTACCTGCAAATGCGATCTGGTCATACAGATGACATTTCAGATGTCACTTTAGAGCTTACAGGCTTCATACATTCTTTCACATCCTCTTCCACTGAATCCTGAGGCTTACAACAGCGAGAACAGGCTGAAAAAGAAGATCCCTCATTAGTATTTGGAATTCCAGAAGACAAAAGTGCTGAATCCAAACGCCTTCTTCAACAAAGTCGAGTATGACTGAGAGTTAGAAGCAAGGAGAGAAGGAATTAAAGAAAAAGAACTCTTTTAGGTCTAGTTACTTCTCTTTTTCCTTGGAGGGACTCATCCCTGCAGTACATCTGAATATGGCTGGCTCATAGCCGTAGTCTGATTGATAGAAAGCTCTGTTATACGTAAATGTTATCTATAGAGTGTCGTATGGATAAACCAGTTCTCATTAGCACAGGGCTAGGACCTCAGCCTGGCACAAGGACAGATTGCTACGTGCTAGGGTGAGGTCAGAAGGGAAATAATGGTAGAAGTTACATCTCACTAAATGCAGTTTACCAAGCGAGTGAAAGGACGCCGGTGTTAGAAGCAGCCAACCAACTGATTCCGTGCTTTAAAAGGAGTTCAGGTTAAACAGGTCCCCTTAGTATCTATGAATGACTTTTGTTTTAATAATTCAGGTTGAATCTCTCTGAACTATTACAGCAAACCGTATTTGCAAAAATTTTACAACATGGATCGTAAGCTATTCTTTAAGTGACCTCTACTCTCGGTCTAATCTTGGTGCCTTGTGTTAAATTAATTGAAGAGCCAAAAAAAAAAAATCTAGAGTTTCCATTCTGAAATTACTGCAAAGATAGGCTGTGAGCTCCTCAGAGCAGGAGTTTGTGAACCTCAGCAAAGCACCTACATGTTTTGGTCACCACCACAATCACGCATCTGAGAGCTCTTGTTTCCGTTTTTTTCTATCTTTCCATTCGTTCCTCCCACACTTCAGCTCTTTGAAGCATGGCTTTCTGATCTCAGAAACCACTCTTAGCATCAAGGCAGCTCCCAACTCAATTTTCCATATGCCAGAACAACAGAAGTACTCTCAGACCTATTCTGACCTTCCACAATAGCTCTTGAAAGGTGACCTGTAGCAACACCAGCAGGTAGCCCTCTTAGGACACATGTTCCCCTTCCCAGACAGGTGGCAATGCACAGCAGCACTGAAATGTGACAACTGTACAAACTGGGAGGTTGGACTGAAGCTCTAGCTTCAGTTTCTTACAGTATATGCCTGGTCTGGAAAGTGGCTGCACAAAATAGCACCACCTGACTCAGCAAATCTACTCCCTGTGCATATTAGGAAAATGGGAATGGAAGGGAAATTCCAGTTTATGCAGCCTTGTTTCATGCTGTGGCAGGTGATCACATTCTACCACCTTGGTGTGCTTTTTACATCTACTTTAAAAGCAATTTGGTTTCTATAGAAAAAGCTGTCTCAGAATCTTACTAATTTAATGGTAAGGAACCTTTAATTTCCAGCCTCTATTTGTTTAGAGACAAATCTTCCAATTCAAGTTCATTTTCTCCTGTAATTTGGAGTTCATTATCCATGCAGCTAACACCACAGGCTGTGATTTTCTTGGTTTCTACCTGCTTGTTGCTTTCCCATTGATACAGCCCCAGGGGACAGCAGGGGACAACCAGCACTGGTGTTGTAGGGGCACATGAGTGGAAAATGAGGACATGCACAGGTGTAGCCAGGAGTCACTGCCTTCCAGAAGTTTCCTTTCTTTGTGATAAAATACCAAAAAGAAAATTAGCTCAACCTTACTGAGTGGTCACACAGGTTTTTGAAGGGATGTGGTTGGTGAGGAGGGGAAAACAAAAATAGCAATGCTACCTCCACACCTCTGACTTGGGAGTGAACTCGTCTGAAGTTGCAATGGAGGTAGCGGAAGACAGGAGCATGACAAACTTAGAAGTGTCCGCAAGTGAACCAAGTCCCCGCTGCCTAGCAAATAACCTTTTTCCAATCGGGGTACCACTGCAACTATGTTAGGCTGAGATGCTCAGACTGGTTTAAGTGGGCTGAACACTTCTGGTTTAAGTGGGCTGAATATAGAGCGCTCTCAGTGGGGGATTCTCATCTCCAGACTCAACTTCCCCAGTGACCTGACAGAACATGATTGGGTGATACTTATAACGTGTTGCAAGGCCTGCTGTCTTTCTCCAGGACTGCTTTTCAAAGTTGCTGATGGGTGTGGGTAGGACATCTACTGCTGTTAACTTTCAGTACTGGCTGGATGCCTACCTGCCTTTGTATATCCACTAGATGTCTACCCACATCTTCAGGGGCTTTCGGGCTAGGTCAGCTTAGACGTGATTGGGAGCAACAGCTAACATGAGATTTTTTTGAGCCACAAGAAAAAAAAAAATTAAGCTACCACCTAACGCTGAGGTGCTTGAGGTCCCCTTTGCCATTGAGACACGTCTGGAGTTACTGAAGACCTCACAGTGTGGGACAGGGCACCTCACCTGTGCTGGTTTTAGCCACACGAAGAAGATAAATTTTTCTCTCTTGACTGGGGTTCTCCTAAAGGTTTTGCTATGCTTAAGTCTTTTCTGTGGCCCTAGCACTATGTATTTTTGTAACTTTGGCTCTGTGACTTTTCTGAGAGATTGTCTAAGTAGGGTGTGTAGAGACATCCCATTTTGAAACTGTCAGCGCTCAGCTGTATCTATCGTGATCACCAAGATTCTTGGCATCTTCAGGCATCTTAATACATAAAAATGGACCTTTATGAATCTCTTCAATTCTGTATATCCCTGACTTTGCAAATACTCTGATCTGCTGTCAAAACTCCCCATCACCCCTTCACTCTCAAACCTGAACCCTAGTGGTGCCTGCACACAAAATGTAGGAAAGTCCTGAGCTGGACTTAGATTTTGTCACAGTAGATGCTGCATGAAAAAAAAAAAAAAAAGGAAATGAGAAGAAGGTACAAAAATATCTAGTGTGTCAGTATAGTTTCTATAAATGCGTATTTTATGTAGAACCTCCATAAGCAGTAAGAGACTGTTTCTTGAAAAAGGAGCTACACTTACCACGCCTTGGGAGGTACCTTGCTGCTAGGGTGATAGCCAAAAGGAAGATGATAATGATGATACTTGAAGCAGTAATGACATTAGAAGCTGGAGGCACAGTAGGGACAATGCAGGAACTTGATTTTTCTGAAACAGAAGAAATAAAACATAAATAAAAGGCCCAACAACATGTTGGCATTTTCATGTAAGAGCAGGTACATGAATTTTGATGGTTCTGGCCAAATTCTAACTCAGCTATTCAGCCTGAAAATTTACCTAAACAAACAGACAGACCTGGCAGCTAAATTTCTTCCATTGCCCCACATTTGCTACATGCTGAAATTTTTAAGTCATCCACAGAATCTGAATTGCTGCGTGTTTGTCCAGAACAGGAGTGAGACATGCAATATTTAAAAACACATAAGCACAAGTTAGGCTTGAAAACTTCCATTCTCAAAGGTACTCTGCAGTTTTTCTTACTGTTTTCACCAGATATATGCCTAATATTCTCCCTTTGGCTTTTCACCGCTGGAGATGACCATTCTGCCACTTGGGGTAGGTAACAGGCTGTTCTTGTACAGTACAGGACAACCCTAATTCAACAGCAGGGACAGACTTGGTGCATGCTCATGGGTCTTCAGGTTTTCATCGCCTGCGTTGGGCACAATTAAGCATCATTCAGCAACTAAGACACCAGCCTGATCCACTGTACAATCTTCCCCTCCACTGTAGGGTTTGCCTCCTGCGTTTACCAGAGATGTATTCTGTCTGGAAGTCAGCATTCATGAAGGACTTGTTTGGAGAACCATTTCCATCATACCAAAATAGGAGTGGTTCCACAACTCAAAAAAACAAAAAATGGGGGTTTTGTGACTGCTGTTGTCACTATTGATTGCACCCTCCTCTGAGAATCTGTGTGACAACAGTGTATGACTATTATTATTTTTTTGTTGCTCTCCTTTTATAGGTAGTATGATACTCATAACATTCTTCCATTACCACCTCCAGAGACATTATGCACTACATCCAGCAATAACCGATACTCATAAAGCACTAGTTTCTGGCATTCGCCCTGAAGCTGAATGGCACCTCTCCTCACGAGCCCCTTTGATTTTAGTAAGATTGATGAATAAGGTACCTGGATTGAAAAGGTACAGTTCCCTAGGAAAAACAGCGCTTCTCTAGCTTCCCTTGAAGGTGCCCTCATCTCTGTGGTGAAAACATCAGACTCAGAGACATTTCAGAATACTTTTTTTGGTAACAACATTGAAAAAAAAAATCCCTTTGGCTTTAAGAATTTTCTTGCAAATCCCCTTCTGCTGCAAAACATCTGGACTGTAGTGTGCTGCCTTCTCTCACGCTGTTTCCACTTGTGCCTCAAGCTTTTCAAAGCACAGACTTATCTATTATGTTATCACTTTTAAGCCATGCACAGTGATGGAAATTTTTCCCTGTGAGTTAACCCTGTATTAAATATGTATATGAAAGCAGAATTTTGTCTAGACCCCAGGTGACAGTTTCTGTCACTGAAGCAGGAACAAACACGCTTGTTAAATAAGGAAATTCTTTTTAAGCACAACCCGTGGCTTTTAAGGCACACACATTTCTCAAGTGCCTCCATTCGAATACCAGGCCCATGTCACACAACTGGCAGCAAGACCAGTGCTGGTACAGAGGGGCACTGAATGGTGGCAAACCCAACCTGTCAGAACCAGCAAGGCTGACATCAGCAGGTCACAAGGGGATCCAATTGCCCTCTCAGCCCAGCTGTGACTCCTGGAAGAGCAGCAGGAACATAGAGCCATCTCTGCTTGTCAGTCACTGTTGTAACTCTCCTCTCCCACCTCTGCTGTCTCACAGCCTTTGAAATATTTTGGTGTGCAGCTCACAGGTGGGATCATTGGGCCATTGTTGCATGAACAGATACACAAAATCTACTGCTTTCTCAGAAAGGCAACTCAGCAGATTCAACAAAATGGTTTTGTAACACAAAGCATTAATAAAACCTACTCAGAAGCAAACTGGTGGACTTGGAAAAGCCATTGTATTCAACGGAGCAAGTGAAGCTGGCGTTTTCGGTCACGCTGAGCCACACTTTGGCAGTGACGTTGTACAGGCTGAGGCTGGACTTGGACACCCAGCTGTCATTCCACACCACGGACTTATTGTTGAGGGCTCCAGAGATTGTGGGTTTGGGGAAACCTCCGTGAGAAGAACATCTTACCGCCATCTCAGTTGATTCACAAGGACCGGCAGATACTTCTGCTGTTATGTTCGGCTTAGTGAAGTCAGCTGAAACAAGAAAGGTTTGGTTACCATTCTGACAGATTACGGCGAGGGTTGCAGTCCTGATCACCCACGGTCAAAGCAAAGACTCCCCCACAGGGCATTTTTCTCCATCATAATCTGTTTGGCCCATCTTGTGCCTTAGTGTTCTCCCCACAGCCTTAACTGGACATGGCCTTGGCCTTTGCTTCTTCTCCTCCCTGGGCAGTAACAGACTTCACGACCCCACCTCTCCAGTGCCGCCGTTTCTGTCTACTTACAGCAGTGTGTGGAACCACAGAAGGAATCATAAAACAGGTAGGAAAAATATAGGACTGAATAAAAACCTGTATTACAGACAATGGCGGACAATTTCCTTTTCCCTCCCTCATTAGTCCCTTCCCAGCCAGAAACTCACAGAGGGTCCATCTCTGCTGGGAAAGGAGGCAAGTCACATGTTGGTCTCTCAGCCAGGATGGCAAGCAAGAGACTGAATTTCATTTTCTGCATGAGAGCCCCTCCAAGAGGCCCAGCTGAGAGCAAGACTGAGTCATACTAGTCATTGCAAGAATGCATAGCAATACACAGGTCCTCTCAGACCATGTTCTCACTGGACTATTTTCTCATTGCCAAAGAATTTTCAGAGGTTTCCCACCCACACAGCTTGTTCCATGCCTTCCCACCTGGTCAGATGTGTTGCTGGAAGTGTTTCTGAGGCTGCGTGGTGAAATGGATGTGATAACTAACGTGAGCGAAGAAGGAGAAGAAAGGAGATGTCCTTTTCAGCCTGCTTCCCTTTGCCAATATGGTTCACTGTGTTACTGTAAACAGTTGCATTGGTACAACTGAGGATGCTCACAGGTTGCAATAAACAGCCAGGGTGAGGAGGACAAGGCAAGGGGTGGCAAAAGAACTATTTCAGGCAATTATCCCACTGTAAAAATCTCCATGGGACCACACCTTTAGCAAGAGAGGCACCGGTCAGAGAATGAAACTCAAGATGTGGCTTCCTGGTGGGTGTAAGTCACACCAACACCACTGCTGCCAAAGGGACCAAATTCTCCCTCCCACTCCTGTCACCTGTAGGTCCATAGCCTCCACACCCTCTCAGGCGCTAGACCCAGCCATGGCAAGGCCAGGCAGAGAGCTGCAGCAGGTTGCTCAAATCACTGCAAAATGACCCTTCTTGGAGCAGCTAAGGTTTTGTCTGTGATTGCTCCGTGCCTGACTCACGATTTGACCACATGACTGCTGGGATCTGGACAAGGCAGTCGGCCTTGAGGTCATAGTCTCTCTTCCACAGCTTCTGCTGACCACGAACCCACGGTCTAGCCACCCAGTAACTAGGAACTAGTGAAAAAAACTTGCTCAACATTGCGCAGCTGACCAGTGGCAGACAAGGAGAGACACAGATTTCCTTCCAGGCCCACTATCTGTTGACCAATGTGGCATTGACATCCAGTCTGGAAAGTCCCTTCAAACATCCCAGCTGGCTTCACCAAGGCTCCCCAATCAGTCACCGGGGAGTAACACCTTTGTGCCTCTCTCAGATTAGCCTGACTTCAGCAAGGTGTGAGGGGAGCTTTCCCTTTCCTGATTCCCACAATAACTGATCACACTTTACCAAAGGGAGAAGAAGTCTACCACAATTGTTACAACTGGCCTGTTAAGACAGCGAGGGGATTTCTAGAAGGAAAGGCCTAGTTGTGGGGAGGAAAAGAGATCCGTTGTTTCACATTTTTCATGCAGTTAACTCCTCAGCCCTCACAGCTAGAAAGGGTGTTGGTAGTGCACTTCCCTTTTTTCATATCTGTTCCCAGAAAGATCTCTAAATTTGTCTCCTTGCACATATGCCCACCATGCCCTCAGACAAGCAGGCAATGGCCAAACCTCAGGAGCTTGGCTTTTTTTGGCGGATTAATCTTATTCCAGATGGGGAATGTTCATTCACTGACTTGTCTGGAAGATTCCTGGAACTCTCTGCTGCTAAAGTTATTCAAATGTATGTGTATATTTATACATGTTACCAGTATCTCTGCCTTTGGTTGAAACCAACCGCCACAAAAACAGTGGTGGAAATGGAAAATCATGTCAATGGAACTTTTCGTAGCCTCCGAGAAAAGATTCAGATTCGTTTTGAGCAAAGGAACTCAGGTTGCTTCTTTAAGGTAAATAGCCTCAGATTTTCAGCTGCATTCAGCCTTAGGTTGTGGAGCTGCAGTGCTGTCAGTGAGCTGGCCAGCGCCTCAGAGAGCCTGGGCTCCCCAGGGGTTGGATGCAGGGCTGGGTTGCTGCTGTGGCCACAGAGAAGCAATGCCACCCCATTCCTCTTTCGGCTTGGACACTTCCCATGCACCAAGGGCTTGGTCTCTGCTTTGCCCAAAAGACAGCAGTGGGCAGAGGTGGCCTAGGGCACCCACCAGCAGTGGTACCCGGGGACGGGTCTTGGTAGGGCACCTATCCCAAAAGGGAGGCATCCAGGGGAGGATGTTGGGCTGGTGGTGGGAAAAGCAAATTTTCCGTACCTGAGGTAGCTTTTGAAAGGTAAGGAGGGAGGTTGCTAGAATGGAAATAGTTAACACACCTTCCGGCACTCTTTTAGGCTTCCTGATGAAAGTCTGTCTGCTACACTAAGCTTGGAGGAGCATCCTTTACCCCCAGAGGTTGGCACCAGAAAGCCTCAGGTGTTGGGAGGCAACCCACCTACCTGTAACAAAGAGGGTGATAGTCTTATCACACACAACAGATGGGTTCTTCGAAGCTCCAAGGTGCTGAACTACACACTGGTAAGAGCCATTGTCCAGGATATGCACAGGGGAGATCCACAGGGTGAGGGTCCTGTTGTCCATGTCTGTGCGGTTCTCGTACCGCTCACTCTTGGAGATCTCCTTGCCCTCTGCATAGGCAAGCACTACCTCTGTAATGTTCTTCTGCCAGTAGACCCGGTAATCACGCAGGCTTTCCGAGCTGGGAATCTCATGACAACAAGGCAGGCTGACTTTTTCCCCCACTTTGCTTTTGACTGCTTCCTTCTCCAGTGCATAGCCTGTAGGTGGGAGCAAACAAAAGTCAGTGAGACAGTGGTATAGCCTTGTGCCAGGACCTGCTGCATAAAGCTCACCTCTTTCAACTCTGTCTGCAGCCACAGATGTACCTCATTACCCACTGAGCTGTTTACGACTTCAGCTCTGAACTGAGGGGAGTTCTCCCTTGACAACGCCTTTTACTGTTGATGCTCCAGTCCTACTTAGGATCCCAAGCTAGCGGGCACACAATGATTTCTGCATGGATTTCTGAAGGCAAAGGCAGGAGAATTACCTGCCTGAACAGAAATTTTGCTGGTCCCTTAAAAAAAAACACACCTCAGAGTAAAGAGTTGCCATTATTCATGTAAAGGGATAAAAACATACATGCCCTAACTGCTATGTCCTCTCTTCTCCGTTTTCAGAGTTCAGTGTTGGAAAGTCTGTGTCACCCTCTGGTGAGTTCCCTGCATGCCAAACAGGGCCACAGTGGACTACTAGTTTGGGGATTTGGGGTGTTTTTTGGAAGTTTTGTTGTTTTTTTTTTTAAAAGAAAAAATCCAAACCTTTCAAGATCCCAGAAGACAGACGCAACCCTACAATGATGAAGGTTACAGCCACACTGTCATCAGCCTCCTAGTATCAGCAAATGAACAACTTCGCCTAGTCTAGCCAAAACAAATTTATAGTTGTGAAGGCCCATGGGCCTCCCTTGGGATTACTTGCAAACCAGCACAGGCATTCCCCAACTCCTGCCCAGTGACCATGTTGGTGCCATACCAAATATACAGGCACATACCTACAATAATAAGCCGAGAGCCTTGCAGAGGGAGATGAGGTATAACTTTGACCAGGTTAGCAGTAATCCCCCTGCTTCGCACTATGACTTCCATGCGTTCTGCTCTGGTGATCAGCCCTGCTTTCCCACTCTCCTTCCTCTTTCCAGTGGTCAGGCGCTTGCAGGAGCCAGGAACCGATACACGAGGGAGCAGCCTAGCAGGGAGCTCCTGCTGTTGCTGGAAGAGTGACCCAGCACCGATGCACAGTCCTGTGCTGCAGCAAGGCCAGGGCAGATGGTTGGGCTTTCACCCGACTTTGTGCAACGTTTAGGATGACGCTTATCCCTGCGCACCCTGCTTTGTTAGTCCGGAAGGTTGGGTTGCTTTACGTTTGCCCTGCTTGCCTCAGCCTCGCTACCTTAGCACCCATCTCCAGCACTGGAAGGGGGATGCCAATCTGTTGTACTCCATTGACAGAGAGCACAAAACCAAGGAAACAGGTAACCTCAGGACAGAGAAGATTCAAATTCCTTCTTCCTTCCCTGCAGGACAGATCTCAGTAAACATTCTGAGAGAGAAAGCAGCAAAGTCCTGACCAGGCAACTGGTGTTACTGACAGGCAGAGTGCAGCATCGCCCATCAGTGGTGAGACCCCATGTGCAAAGCCTGAAGCATGAACTGAATGCTTGATAAAGCTGAGCCTAAGAACTGCCATCCACCCCCAGCAAAGCCTGGCTGATGCTGGCTCAGCCGTTAGTGTCACAGATAATGCCTGACCACAGCCACAGACTGCAGCACTTAGGGTGTGACCGGGATGCCGTGATATTCAGATTCAGATGAAGTGTCCAAAACGGCCACAAGCTTGTTGCCCACCAGTGGTAACTCACAGACCCTGGGGACACTGTCACACAGCCGGCAGCGAGACCCCCACGGCATGCTGACCTGTGCCTAGCGGCACACCCCGATGATGTGCTTCACAATCCTCCAGCCGCTGGTGCTGGAGGGAGACAAGCAGATGCTCAGCCAGTACCCTGGCATAGCCAGATCTTGGGGCAGCACTGGGGGCTGCTTGCTGAAGCCCAGACACAGAGCCTGGGACAGAACATGAAATAAGTTTTCACCTCCCTCCCCTGCGGCACACTTACCTCTGTCCCACCCACATGCTTTACGTTAAACCTATAGGCAAAACACTGAAAAATACTGGGGAGATCCTGGCAATACTATTGGAGTATTTTAATATTAAATAAAATAGAATACATAATTAAATGAGCAACATCTTATTTAACTGGTTTCTCTCCACTCAGCCACCTCATTGATCTTCCAAAGGGAAAGATTCAAACTCAGTTTTTTTTCCCCCCACCACCTGTACTTCCCCTTATAATGCATCGCAGACTCTGAGCAACCAGACTTGGGCAGACCAGGAGCCCACTCAGCCCGTTGACCTGTGTCAGCCAGCAACCAGCAGCAAAATGGTAGAAAAACTAGTTCTTCCATACCACACAGTATAAGAACTGCCATACCCCGCCAACCTTTGGCAGCCAGGAATTCAGTGATTTCTTGACACCAGTAGTTTAATCGCTGCTGCCAGACATACCCTTCTGGAAGAGTCCTTGCCCCTTCAGGAATGCATGTACATTTTTGGCTTCCACAACATCCTGTGACAATGAGTTGCAGTTGATTACGTGCTGTGTGAAAAAACATTTCCTTCTGTTCACCTTAAAAGCAGGTGATTAGCCTGTGACTCTTGACTCTTGAAGTTCCTCCTCCTGCATGTCTGCATGCATGTGTGTGTGTGTTTATCTTTCACCACATCTTCGCTTGTTTTCACAGTTCAGCTCTTACTATTGCTGGAGAGACTCACAAGAGCAGCCAGTCAAACTTTGGGATTGTGGAGCCTGGTAAAGACAATTTACCATTTTCTTTTGCAGTAATAGGAGAAGAGTAGGCGTATAGTAAATGTCAGGCTGACATCGCATCATGAGTTGCATGAGGTTCTCTGTGCCTTGCCCCTAAGAGTCTCCTGTGCAACCAAAAGGAGAACAAAAACCTTCTCAGCAGTACATGTGCAGCAGCTGGAAACTCCTGCTGATGTCACATCTACCCTTAAAAGGTTCTGCACCCTTGAAACTGCAACCTGAATGCTGCAAGCCTGAAGGAATCTATGTCCACAAGGAGTCATTCAGCCCCACAAAAGTCCCCTTTCACTTTAAAGGTGAACTGCAAAGCAAAAATGAAAACTCAGTTCCATTTCTGTGCTGAACTCTCTCTGTAACCAGGCTGTGGGGGAGGTATCCACCATAGAAATAATTTTTAATGACCTTTCTAGAAAAAAAAGATCCCACCTCTTCCTACCCCGCTGAAGCCCATCTGCTCCTTTGCTGTGCACACATGTCGCTCCATCACTGGAAGCCCGCAGTGCAAGGCAACGCTGAACTGATGAAAGCGCTGACTTTCTGTTCCCCGGGCAGAAAAATGTGTTTCATTCAAACTGCCTCTGTGCTGCGATGCCACATACGGCAGGGCTAATGGGAACAGACAGGTGAGTGCAGAGGAAAATGGTTCTTTCTTGTTTGCTCCGAGAGTTAGCAAGCAGGAGAGCTGCCAGAGCAGGACCACCTAGAGCAGGTCACACAAGAATGCATCTGGACGGGTTTTGAATGTCTCCAGAGAAGGAGACTAACATCCCTGCCCAAGCCATGTTTCAGAAATTCACCGGCCACAGAGAGTTTGGTTATTCTGACTACACATACAGTCAGGTGGTACTGGAGAACAGATTGCCTCTGGGACACAAGTCCTGCAGAGACATTTGACTCTAAAAGGCAGTAAAAGGCCACACAACGCTCTAGAGGAGCAGTGTTGAACAGTTGGAAACCTTCAGATAATTCCTGATGAACAGAAAGCCCGAAGCCATTCTCTTTCCCCTCCATTCCCCATTTCTCTGTCCTTCTGAACTGCTTTGCCTTTTTTTGGTCTTACCTTACCTTGTGTTACCTTGCTTTGGACACAACAAAAGCAACACACATGAAGGGAAAGGTCTTTCTTGGTGGGCCTGGAGTCCTTTGCCCCTATGTAAGCAGCAGGTAAGACAGTGGATCTGCATATTTTTTTGACCAACAGTCCTGCAAAAAGCTCTGAGAAATTGTTGGTGGCACTCCAAAACCAGGAGGGTCAAAACAGCCTTGTGTTGCTTTTTTCCCCTACAGTTCCCTATTTATCTTTGCCACAGCAGCTGTTTTCTCTACTCTGAAATTATTTCTTGCTCTCTGCCTGTACGTGGGCTGGAAAAAGTGGCTTGGGGCAGCTCTGGGAAGAGGTGCACATCATGTCACGGAGAGGCAAGGGCACTTCTGCTAACTGGGGCTGGGCCAGCTGAGGAAAACACGTCTCACGGAGCTGCGGCTTTCTCCTGGTGGCCATCCCCTGGGGTCAGTGCGGGAATCACACCCAACAGTCCCCAGCTAATCGTGCAGCTCAGGCTCCTCATCTTCTGTGAATAGCACATGTGCCCCAAACTCCTTTGAGGACAATGCAGTATTTTATGGGGATTTCCGAGCAGGACAGATCATCAGTTGAAAAACTGAGAAATTTTGAAAAGTTGAGTCTTTAAAGGATGAGACACTCTCCCTTGATATTTTCTTTATCCCAGGTGATTTTACCACTGAGGAATCGGATTCTCCCAAAGTTTTCCACGGACTTGAAATTCAGCAAACGTCCTGTGCTACATTGGAATATGTGAAGAAATGTTTTGTATTTAAATCAGTGTTGTGACAGACTCCTGTGAATACACTGATCACAGAAAGACCCCATTATAACTTCTATGTGGAGACATTGCTTCAGCACTGCATAAGAACACTGCCTTCCTTTGCATTTCACTCTAAAGACCCCATGCAATGAGAAAGATGGGATGAAACAGAGAAAGCTGCTGGCAGGCCCTGCTGGCTGTCCTTTTTAAGGAGTCCATGCCTGCATATTAACCTGGGCACAAGTGCCTGGCAAGCCTCCTGGGCTCCTTCTACCCAGCTTCCACTCCAGCAAGTAGAGGCATGCAAAGGGAGGTCTCGGCACGCAGAGGAAGGATGAGTGGCCCTTTCCCCTTGCACAACCCCAAGCCCAACCTTCCGGTCACGAATCACAGGCCTGCTGCTGCTTTAGGCTGCTCTGGCAAAGCAAAGCAGCTGCAAACTCATATTGCTCCACTCATGTTACAGAGACCTCTTGTGAGGTCATGTTCCCTTAGTCATCCC